TAATCAAAATTGTCTCGAGTGAAAGTGAAAAGAGACACTACAAACAACTATGGTTACACTGGTATTTACAAATTAATTTCAATTTGAAAGTTTCATAAAATCGTATTTCTATGTTTTATGTCGAGGTTTTGACAGCATGTCATTAACTAAGACGTCACAGACTGCCCCTGTTTGAAGAGGTCGTACAATGATTCACAATTCATCTGGCTCACCGGTTACACCTGTTATGTGTTTTTTTGCGCTAATTAAGTGTATTTGTGTAACGTACAATGTGATTGACACAATATCAAGTTCGTACCAGAACGCCAAACTGTTGTAGCGGCCGAGCCTCTTTTTGAGTCAGTGAGTGAGTGAGTTAATATTTAACGTCACATCGGCAATATTTCAGCCATATCGTGACGAGAACATGTGATATTGAAATGAAATATTTGTATATTATAAAATACCTGCCGACGAAGGACAGTAAAACAACTAGAATATCACAGATATGGATGTAAAACTAGTAATTAAGTCTAAAACGTTATAACGATAGGAGAAAACAATACAGTATAAAAATGGACTATAAATTGCCAATAACTGAAGGTAGATCACCATACCAGGGACGATGGGGACTTACATTACTTTTGCTACCTGCATGGACCCTAGTTGGATTTACACCATCCCTTCAGCCATTGGCGACAGAAGAGAAATCTAGCCATAAATTAAAAGCACACATATTCTACGATTAAAACCTGGTACACTTAAATTGACTAAATGTTTTGGGACTTACGTACCCTCTCAGGAGGACAATAATATTACAATACTTCAACCCCATTTGAGGGTACAGCCACTAACAATCTCAGTTACTAATTCAAACTACCAATAATAAAATATATATCTATTTACAAATCACTTAACAAATCTAATTCTTTTAAAAATGCAATAATTAAATGAGAACTAACATTATTAAAAACATCCTTCATAGTGTTTACTTTGAAATAGTTATGCCTTGTGATGGAATATTCAATGCAGTCAAGCAAGACATGCTTGACTGAGATTCTTTCATCACAAGGGATGCAAAACGGAGGATCTTCGCCTTTAAGCAAATATCCATGGGTATACCTTGTATGACCAATGCGACACCGCCGCATAATGACCTCTTCAAATCTGGACTGACAACCTAAGTAGGTGTAACCAATGTAGGGTTTTATTGCATGTAATTTATTAATACCTACTTGGGTGTCCCACTTCTTCTGCATCAGATCGCGGATGTAAGTTCTAATGCTTGCTTTGTAATCAGAGTATGGAATAAGAAGTGGTGTCACAGATTTGTTGAGTGCTGCCTTAGCAACAAGATCAGCCATGGTTTTCCCAGAAATGCCAACGTGGCTGGGTAACCAACAAAAGACGATATCGCATTGGCCAGTAGCAAGTTCATTGTACAATTCAATATTTTCTAATAAAAGTGGATGTTTGCAAGAAAGATTGTTAATACCCTGAAGACACGAAAGAGAATCTGAAAAGATGATATATTGTTTATATTTACGGTGTTTATTAATATATTTAAGAGCTGTTAGTATTGCGTTTGCTTCTGCTGTTAAAATAGAGCTGTTATTTGGTAATCGGGAAGATATTGTTTTGGATCCAATGACAGTGGCACAAGCAACCGCGCCACCATCCTTGGACCCATCTGTAAATAAAGATTGGTATGTATTATATTTAGTTTTTAACTGATTAAATTCTTGTCTATATTGTAATTCATTAGTTTCTGATTTTTTTAAAAGTGGTTAATGTTAGGTCGACTTCTGGCCTAACCAATTGCCAAGGAGGAGACGAAAGAAGACGGGAAGGAGAAATATGTTCTAGCCCAATGCCAGCAGCAGAAAGGAAAGGCTTCATTCTTATTCCCAGAGACGGAACAAGAGAAGACCTTTTGTCGTACAGTTCCTCATACAAGGGATTAAAGACACAGTTATATGCAGGATTCGACTGATTAGAATATAGTTTAGTAATAAACTGCAAGGATAATTTGATACGGCGTTGGTTTAGAGAAGGTTCGTCAGCTTCAACGTAAAGACTGTCAATGGGAGAAGTGCGGAAAGATCCAAGACAAAGTCTTAGACCTTGGTGGTGGATAGAATCAAGTATTTTCAAGTTACTTTTACAGGCTCCACCATATACGATGGCCATTCTCAAGTGACCATTTATGAATTTTATTTAAACACATCTGTAATTGTCTCTCGATGGTATGCATATTTGTACCACGACATGAAACGTTAAAATCATCCACAAACAAAGACCCATCTATTGAGTCATTTAATACTTTCGAGAGACTATTTATCTTTATGCTAAACAAAGTAACAGACAAAATACTACCTTGTGGAACCCCCTGATCCTGAGTATAAAGGTCAGACAGGGTTGATCCAACACGAACTTGAAATTGTCTGTCTGCTAAAAACTGTAAGATAAACTGAGGCAAACGGCCTCTCAAACCAAAGTCATGTAAATCTCTTAAAATGCCATGTTTCCATGTTGTATCATAAGCTTTTTCCAGGTCGAAAAAGATTGATACAGCATGCTGATTATTTACAATGGAATTTTTAACAAAGGATTCCAGCCGAACCAAATGGTCAATAGTGCTTCTATTTTTGCGAAAACCACATTGGATGTTAGTAATAAGATTATTGGATTCTAGAAACCATACTAATCTATTATTGACCATGCGTTCCATGGTCTTGCAAACGCAGCTAGTTAATGAAATAGGTCTGTAGTTTGATGGATCTGTATGATCCCGGCCAGGCTTAGGTATTGGTACAACAATGGCATGACGCCACGAAGGAGGAAAGTGCCCTGTTGTCCAAATATTATCAAAAATGTTCTGAAGTGTTTCAAGACATGCGTTGGGTAAATGTTTCAGGAGCTGATAGTGGATATTATCAGCACCTGTTGCCGTTTCATGAGCTTGCGCTAATGCAGTATTCAGCTCATGTAGTGAAAATACTTCATTATAATCTTCACCATTAGCAGAGTGAAAGTTAATTTTAAGTTTTTCGTGATGATCTTTATATTTCTGAAACTTTGGACTATAGTTTGATGAAGAAGAATGTGTAGCTAAAGTTTCACCCAACTTGTTTGCAATGTCAATTTTATCAGTGAAAAGATCGTGTCCATCTTTGAGATGATGAACACTAGAATTTCTACCTTTGCCCTTGATTCTCTGTATCATGTTCCACACCTTCGTCATTGGCGTACGGGAATTAATCTTTGATACAAAGTTCTTCCAAGACTGACGTTTACTTTGTTTAAAAGTACGTCGAGCCTTGGCATTGTTTATTTTAAAACTATCTAAATTGTGAACTGTAGGGTGACGTCGAAAGTATTTCTCTGCCTTCTTCCTACACTTCCTAGCTTGTTTACAAGCGTCAGTAAACCATGGTTTACGAACATGTGGTTTAGCAGAAGCCTTAGGAATCGTTTCATCGGCAATATTCTTCAGTTTAGCAGAGAACAACTCAATCGGATCTGAAACATTGACAAAAAGGTCAGATTTCAAGATGTCAGCACACAGTGTCTGAAATACTGGCCAGTTAGCCTGATTAAAATTCCACCTTGTTGTAGATGGGTCATCACTCGGGTTTATAGCGGAAAGTATTGTAGGAAAATGGTCACTTCCACGCAGGTCATCGTGGACAGACCACTTAAATTCGTTATAAATACTTGGGTCTGTGAGCGACAGCTCGAGTGCAGAATACGTTCCTAAACCAGGGTGTAAATATGTGACAGATCCATCATTAAAGATGCATAAATTATTGTTTGAAATGAAGTCCTCAATGATTTTTCCTTTACTGTTGGTATCGGCACTACCCCACAAAGGATTATGGCCGTTTAGATCTCCCTTGATTATACATGGTTGAGGAAGTTGGTCAAAGAGATCCTGAAGATCGGACTGCTGAAGAGCTGAAGAAGGAGAAATATACAAAGAACAAAGCGTAAAGGTTATCTGTAAATAAAGACGGACAGCAATAGCCTGAAGATTGCTTTTAAGAGGAACCGAGCTATGGATAACACCTTGCCTCACGAGAATAGAGGCGCCGCCAGTGGCTTTATCACCTGGAGATGAGAAAGAATGGAATGAATTGTACCGACGCAATTCAAATTTATCTGTACTTTTCAAATAGGTCTCTTTTAAACTAAAAATCGATGGATTAAAATCTTGTGATAATAATTGTAGATCATTAAAATTATTCCTAAGGCCTCTGCAATTCCATTGTATTAAATTAATAGAGTTGTTCATGGCGCTTCAACAGGGGATCTTGACTGCGAAGAATGTCTACTCCCTCGTCCTGGCTGTGAGGGAGTGACCTCCATATCAAGAGGTCCAAACGGATTATGAACCGTCACGGATGTTGACGAGGTAGATGGTACCTCTAAATGCTAATTTCTTTTCCTTATTTGACAAATGGCTTATGTTTCCTGGATTTGATTGTGTCTCTGGTTCTTGTTCTGTCTGTGAGGCAGATGTTCACGAACTTTGCTCATTTTGAGAGCACTGGGTGGATTCATCGAGTGTAACTTGTTTGGCCTTTACCCAAGATATGGCTGTCTGGCATGAAATTGAAACCTTTGTTACAGGATGATGAACAGGGGTAGAAACAGTGGCTGAATATGATCGAGTTGTAGTGGTTTGAGACTGTGCAGGTATTAACTTGTTGGCTTCTTGGTAGGAAAGGTTGTTAGTGATTTTGATTTTGAGAATCTTTGACTCGAGTTCAAAATTAGGACATGATTTGGACGATGCCATGTGCTCACCGTTACAGTTAGCACATCTGATGTCTTTTGTACATTCAGTGTTATCATGAGCCCCACTGCAACGGGAGCATACTGGTTTACGAGTGCATGACTTGGCACCGTGTCCAAATTTTTGGCACTTAAAACATCGCAGCGGATTAGGGATGTAAACATCAACTGGGATATTAAAGTAACCAGCTTTAATAGCTTTTGGTAGAGCCGACAGCCCAAAGATGAACAGGTAAGTATTTGTTTTAATTATATCTGCCTCCTGTTTTCTGGTAAACCGCTTAACAGCAGTTACGCCTTGGTGTTTCAATTCATCAACAATTTCTTCTTCTGTCATATACGCCAGACAACGAGATCGGTCACGGACGATACCTCTGCAAGAGTTCAATGTCCTGTGCACAGAGACAACAACTTGTGTATTAACAAATTGGTGTAATCCCAACAAGTTTACAGATTGCTGCCTCCGGGCACATTCAACAAGAAAGGAGCCAGAACGAAGACGTGTGACGTTTGCTACCTCTCCACAGACACCTTTGATACCCATGGATATAGCAAAGGGATTCAGTTTCAATGGACTACCATCTGCGGTTTCAATAACCAAGAATCTTGGCCATGAATCCACTACCGCTGAAGAGACTTCATCATTAGATGATGTTGAAAGGTGTCGACGTTTATTCGTTTTTGAACCAGGGGGAATGTTGTGAGCCATAGTAATATAATGATTTTCAGCAACCCTGATCTCAACCCGCCATCGAGTGTCAACAAGGACGATCCTGCAGTGGAAACCAAACTGCACGATCAGAGCTACAGGGATGCTATACTCCAGAAATACAGACATAAATAGCTAAGAAATCAAAAAGAAGAAGTGTCTAGCTGGTTCGGCCCTTGACATTCTTCTTAAGAAACTCAGAATTTAGAGGTCTATACCACCAGATTGGCCCATGAGCCACCGCCTTCTGGCATAGGACTCTAGGCAAAATGTAAATTTGCATTATTAAGGTTGTCACGGTCTTTAACCAACAATTTTATGTCATGATTAATCCAAATAAAAAGTTTCCATGCACAGGGCATGACGTGACCAGCCGATTGATAGAACCGGGCCAGTTCTACCACCCGTCTAGGTGAAGTAAGGGGCGAAGTGGTGTGTTGGGCAAAAGGAACACGGTTCCAGGCTCCAAGTGCCCTCAACCACCAGCCTCCCGTCCTCCACCGACACAGGGGCGCAACCCACGGCAAACGGGTTGGTGGACCAAATATATCCCCCCGGGTCCACAACGGGGGGTTGAAGGGCGCTTAGCGTTACCCAGCACCCACCACGAGGAGGTGGTCCTTCACGGGTGCCCCTCTTTTTGAGATTTTCACGATTTCCAGATTTCCGTTTGTCAAAGCATGCTGTATACGACAGAGCACGCTGCACGGCGGGTTTGCAAAAAATAGAAGGAGCGTAGTATTCCTTCCTTTTGCCTGTCTGTCGTTGTCTGTCTGCCCGTTATTCCTTCATCTTGTCTGTCTGTCTTTCCGTCCTTCTGTCTGTCTCTCCCTTATCATCACCATATCCAACAGAACCTAGCACACATCCCACATGTTATATGTCCTGGTTTGGTTAATCTCGATTGATGTAATGATATTCAATCAAACCTTCTCTCTTCCAGAAAAGCTATGGACCGAAGAAAGAGAGTCGCTATTGTTGGAGCAGGCCTCTCTGGTCTGGCGGCCATCAAGTCGTGTCTGGAAGAAGGGTTGGAACCTGTGTGTTTTGAACAATATGACGACATTGGTAAGGTGAAGCAGGAGTCTGAATGTATTTGGTTGTTTTACATTTCGATGCGAGGTCAATATAATGCATTAAACATTGATAATTATGCCACAATCATTCAAGCTATATGGATGTCGTCGGGTCAAATACACTTCTGATCAAAAGTAAATCACCCAAGAATGCCTTAGTGACCGAATGACCCGGAAATAGTGTGTTGAGGAGACGAATGACCTTGGTGACCAAAACATACAATTTAGACATTCCATGAATTGCCGTCATATCTATTTTAGCGGTCTTAATTTATATGATTCAAATATGCTAATGTATATTAACTTAACCAACTTATTGAACATATTTACTGACATGCAACTTGAAGGAAGGCAAAGTGCCTTCTATTTATCAGTTATCTCGAACTTCTATGTCTTTAATTGACTAGTTGTAGTAGAATGCCTTATGTTCCCCCAGTCTCTCCTGAACATGTTAATATTAGTACATCATGTTATTACAGGCGGTGATAAGATACAATCTTGAAACTAATCAAAGGAATTACCCATAAATAGTATATGATTTCAATATGAGTTTCATCAAGAAAGTGACACATGACACTTCAAAACCTGAAAGCGCAGCTAAGCCTAATTTTCAAGTGAGTGAGTGTGTTTTATGCTCCTTTCAGCAATATCTGTGGGTCTTCACGTAATGGGCTTCACACACTGTACGCACACGCTGAATCAACCACTTTAACCACTAGGCTACCTAACCGCCCACATGGTGTGTATCACAGCCGCCATATAGCTGGAATATTGCTGAGTGTTGCGTAAACTAAACTCACTCACTCGCCCAGTCCCTATGTATGTATGTATGTATGTATGTATGTATGTATGTATGTATGTATGTATGTATGTATGTATGTATGTATGTGTGTATGTGTGTGTGTGCATGTAATTCATGACCAAACGAAAAGACCTCAGGAACTCAATGTTTTCGTCTGTCTGTCTGTCTGTCTGTCTGTCTGTAATATATGTAATGTATGTAATGTATGTGTGTATGCGCTTGTGTATGTGTGTGTGTGTATGTAATTCATGACCAAACGAAAAGACCTCAGGAACTCAACGGTTTCGTCTGTCTGTCTGTCTGTCTGTCTGTCTGTCTGTCTGTCTGTCTGTATGTATGTATGTATGTATGTATGTATGTATGTATGTATGTATGTATGTATGTATGTATGTATGTATGTATGTATGTATGTATGTATGTATGTATGTATGCATGCATGCATGCATGGATGGATGGATGTATGAGTGTGGCGTAAAACTAAACTCACTCACTCACTCATGGTGTTAATCAGTGTAGTATCATCTTCAGCCGGTGTGTGGTACTACACCAAAAGAATACAGAGAAGGACAGGGCGCAAGAGCCTTCGATTATCTGACCACCAACGTCAGCAGGGAGATGATAGGGTTCAGTGACTTCCCTTACCCCTCAGACCTTCCGCCATTCTTGAGCCGCACCATGGTCTACGACTACGCCCAGAGCTACTGCGAGACGTTCGGTCTCCGCAAACACATTCACCTCCGAACCAGAATCGTCAACATAAAGAAGGCTGCTGACTACAACGTCACGGGAAGATGGCAGGTGGAGACAATGGATGCCCAGAAGAAGACGAAAACGGAAATCTATGACTTTGTGATGATCTGTTCTGGCTTCTACAAGAAGCCCCGTATACCTTCCATTGAAGGAATGGAGACATTCAAAGGGACCCTTGAACACACATACAAGTTCAGAGATGGTTTGCCCTACAAGGACAAGAATGTTCTTGTCATTGGTAAGGAATTAGTTTTTCATGTATTTTCAAGGCATAGATAGTCTTTGTGAATTCATTAACGAACCGGTTAATTATGGACATAAGGTCGAATACACAAAACTATTTAAGCACATTTTGGACGCAACAACTTTTATGCGCATTCTGCTTTGTTTCCAAACGGTTTAGAAAAGATGTGTCAATACAAACAAGTAACATGTTAATCATTTTGAACTGGAGGAAGAATAGGTTTAAACATCGATTATTTCAAGAGTAACGTTACAGGGTAAAGAGATTATTTTCCTCATGCTTCTTTTTGTCGCAGATGACCTTAGAATAAAGTTAATTCATTATCTATAACATCCAAAACATTAGAATTGTAAACATAATCTGAATATTTTTGTCAGATTGACAAGCAACAGCATGATAAATATAACTAACGTGTCTGTTCTCCTGTGGATAATTTGGTATTGTTCCAAACATCTGTAAGTATCTACTGCCATGTTTTTCTAACATACAAGGATCCCGAAATCCACATTTTAAACGGTCAAAACATCGGTAGAACCACTAAACAGCATGGCTGTACCCCTAAACATGCACAAGTTTCTCTGCAATATATTCCCACTTCCTACCCACAGGGAACTCCCATTCATCCGGGGATGTGTCAGTGGAGTCTTCCTGTTATGCAAAACAGGTACGTCATGTGACTGGATAGGACCAATTATATGCATTTTCATCTCTCATAATTTTAAATTTCCTTTGTCATCCTCATTACAATTGTCGTATTTACAATGTCAGCGTGGACGGGTCAGGTTGACCTGAGAGTACTGACTGGGTAGTGTGTTGTTTAACGCCGCGCTCAGTAACCCATGCTTGTCGTAAGAGGAGACCAACGGGATCGGTGGTCAGGTTCGCTGACTTGGGTGACACATGTTATCTGTTCCCAGCTGCGCAGATCGATCCTCATGCTGGAGATCACTGGATTGTCTGGTCCCGACTCGATTATTTACAGACCGCCGCCATATACCTGGAATATTGCTGACTGCGGAGTAAACTAAATTCACTTACTCACTCATGTTACAATCCTTTGAAGCAGTATTGTAACCATTTAATGAAAGAGATAATATAATGTAGGCTGAAGGCTTATATCTGGAGACAGGAGAAGAAATATGCCTCTCACAATATAATTATAAAGGACATGAGAGAATATCAGCAGGTCACAAGTTAATATATAGGGGTTATGAGAGAATATCAGGAGTCACAGGTAAATATATAGGGATCATGAGAGAATACCAGGAGGTCACTGGTTAATTTATAGGGGACCTGAGAGAATATCAGCAGGTCACAGGTAAATATATATGTGTCATGAGAGAATATCAGGAAGTCTCAGGTGAATATATAAGTGTTATGAGAGAATATCAGGAAGTCACTGGTTACTATATACGGACCATGAGAGAATATCAGGAAGTCACTGGTAAATATATATGGGTCATGAGAGAATATCAGGAAGTCACTGGTAAATATATATGGGTCATGAGAGAATATCAGGAAGTCACTGGTAAATACATATGGGTCAATATGGGTCATGAAAGCATATCAGGACGTCACTGGTAAATATATATGTGTCATGACAGAATATCAGGAAGTCTGTGGTAAATATATATGGGTCATCAGAGAATACCAGGAGGTCACTGGTTACTATATATGGGTAATGAGAGAATATCAGGAGATCACTGGTTACTATATATGTGTCATGAGAGAATATCAGGAGGTCACTGGTAAATATATATGGGTCATGAGGGAATATCAGGAGGTCACTGGTAAATATATATGGGTCATGAGAGAATACCAGGAGGTCACTGGTAAATATATATGGGTCATGAGAGAATACCAGGAGGTCACTGGTAAATATATATGTGTCATGAGAAAATATCAGGAGGTCACTGGTAAATATATATGGGTCATGAGAGAATATCAGGATGTCACTGGTAGATATATATGTGTCATGAGAGAATACCAGGAGGTGACTGATTGATATTATGGACGGCATGATAGAATATCATGAGACCACGGGTTATTTCTTTGGGGTCGTAAAAGAATATTAGAAGGTCATAAATTGAGGACATAAAAAAATATCAAACTGATATATTAACAAAGAAATGGTTCATGAATACAAGGCAAATAGATTAATTTCTAATCCAACTGATGACAAATGAGAACTTGTCGAGTATGTCAAGATTCAAGCACCCAACCGAACCAATATACTATGGTTTGCACACATATTACTGCTTCGTTTCTTTATTCGTCTGCAGGTGTATTACAGTGTAGGAGACGGAATGCTCTTGTTGCCATTATGCGTCAGAAACGGACAACCGTGGGACATAGCTGTCTTCAGAAGGTCCAAGATGTGGAATCCAACGAAATTCTTCAAGCTGGTGGTCGACACATGCAATGACCGTCTTGATCACAACAAGGCGGGAATCGCCCCCTCAACTCCCCCATCAAGGACCAGAGTAATGCTCAACGACAGAGTTCAGTATAAAATCATGAATGGACGCATTAAAGTTGTCAGTAGACTTATCCGTCTTGGACCCCACGAAGCCGAATTCGATGACGGCACTGTCCTGAAGAACTTGGACGCCGTTTTGTTTGCAACTGGATATGATTTTTCGATGGACTTTATGGATGAGTCATTTCAAGGAGGTAACTTTACGAAAAATGCAAATGTAAACACAAATCTGTTGGAGTCATCATTTAGAAAAGTCAAGCTTGAATTTTCCTGTTTCTTTTTTACTCGAATAGGCAATAGTCTAATGTCATCTTCTGGCAGTTAACAATTACATTCAATACAGAAAATGTCATGATACATATGTACAGAAGTAAGCTTGAAATGATCTCCTGACTGTGAAACATACTTCTTTTCCTCCACATCCTTATATTAGAAACTGTCCACGGTGGTCCGGTTTAACAAGGCTCGGATTCGTTTGAAAACAATTGTGTCAGAAAGCATTTTTTAAACGGCAACAGTGTTTGTCTTCCAAGAGATAGTTATACGTTTTGATCTTGGAGAAACATACTATACGCATGGAACAAATAAGGGGACACATGAAAGTACAAGTGTTCTTTTATTCTTTTCCAGAATTCCACCCACAGTTCAATACAAAGCTTGTGACGTAACCTGAAAAGAAAAAAGGAACACTTGTACTTTCAGGTGTTTCCTTATTTGTTTCGATGAGTATGTATAGATAAATTTTACTGTCCTTCAGGGAAGTAACTATTTGTTGCAGAGGATCGAAAGCTGGGTCTGTACAAGATGATGTTCCCCCTACATCAGCACCACACGCTGTCTGTTGTGGGTTGTGTGGACTCCGATGGACCAATCCCACCACTTGCAGAGCTGCAGAGCCGCTTCATTGCACTGGTGTATACCGGCAAGCTTCGCCTGCCTTCACTGAAAGCCATGACTGACGTGACGGAAAAGATGAACGCCGAAATCTTCGAAACATTTGGACGCTACAAATATCTGGTTGGTAAATATCTGGCAAATGTACCATCACTCCTATGTCTTATTGAACGACATTAATCCTAATACAGTCGATACATGACTTCCTATCTATCCAAAGAAAGCATCTGAGACAAGTTAAATAGAAATAATATATATAAGAGACAAACCACTATGCTTAAAGCAAAGTCTATTATATGATTCAAAATATATCATGATCATCATCAAATATATCATTGGTCACTTTCAAATAGTTATGACACCACATTTTTGCGACACTGTGAAGCTCCGGTAGCCTGTGTCGTAAACACATGCAAAGGCAAGGCAAGTGTTTATCTGAATAGACATGGGTACATGCAAGTGAAAAAAGCGAATTACATCAAACATTATTTGGTCACTGATATCTGTTTGCTATGTCCCCCACATGTCTACAGTAACAATTTTTTGATGAATCAGCTTCATTGAAATCCTCCTACATTGTCCTTCACAAGGTGTTGAATGTGGACACCAAGGGTGAAGGTCAAGAGTCTTGCCCAACATAATAGACGATCGGACTGGTGGAATGCTGACGTCTCCAATTTGAAGTCTTTATGCAAAGTAGATAGGTCTACTTGTCGTTTCTGTTTGAGGTCGGTGAATCTGTGGAGCGAATGGCTTCTTTGACTATAACTGAATAATATCAGACTCTCGACATCTCGACTCTTGCCATTTGCCAAGAACTGAGGACTAATTGTACTTAATTTCCATAAATAAATTGAGAACGATTATGTCTGTAGTCTTTATAGTCCATATATACATTGTAACTCCTGGTAACATTGTCATGGAATAACTAACGTCAACATAGAAAATGCATACAGTTGATATACAGACCCGAGTATACTACCAACAGTTTCCATAAAGTCTCAAAGTCTTACAGTATCCAAACAAAAGTCCTCTGTACGAATCCGTCATGGTTAATGCGATGATCAGTACAGTGACGTGTGAACGTCACAATCTGTACGGTCGACATTGAAACGTTTGAATGACCCAGTTGTAAGTAGTTTACCACCCTTGCTCATCACACTGCAGGATTGTCTCCTCAGATCTCTACTTCTCTGGAGATTCAACATTATGAACGGATAAAAGGAAGATAGTTAAAAATTAAACGCCCAAATGGATCTGTGGTACGGCAACATTTCGTCACCATCCAACGACATGCATCAGGTCGTGTCCAATTGTGATATGTCCGCCATCATATACATGGAAGCTGACGTTTTAAACCTTTTACAAAACGTTTTAAACAATTACATCAATACCCAAATTGCCACAAAGAGCCAAGGTTTAAAACCTTGAGGCAACATCATTATGCCAAACTTAACGTTTGCTCTGTATTCTGTGATGGAATTTGTCGGGATTATTTCAGCCATATAGCGTAGAGTGAGTATGGTTTTACTTCGCCTTTAGCACCATTCCAGCAATATCACGGCGAATATCTGTTGGTTGGTTTGTTGTGTAACGCCGCACTCAGCAATATTCCAGCAATATGGCGGCGGTCTGTAAATAATCGATTCTGAACCAGACAATCCAGTGATCAAAAGCATGAGCATCGATCTACACAATTAGGATACAATGTGTCAGCCAAGTCAGGGAGCCTGACCACCCAATCCCGTTAGTCGCCTCTAACGACAGGCATGGGTTACTGAAGACCGATTCTAACCCGGATCTTCACAGGTTCTCACGGTGGTGGACACTGGAAATGGTGTTCACACATTTACTCACTCACTTTTCCATGATCCCTTGTATGTTGTCGTCAGAGGTTTTAATTTGACATGGAGTGATGGGCATCCGTTGTCACTGCGTCACCGGTTCGTCTGGCCCAGAATATTTCCAGATTTGAGTATTTCCTTCCTCACTAAAAAAACAAACCCAACATATCAGGTACTATAAAATACATGTTATATATTTCAGATACACAACCTTCCTTACCGAGACGACATTGCAATGCAGATGGGCGTTGCCCCCTCCTTGTTTGACTTGATCAAGGCAGGTCCAAGACTCGCCTACCAATACTACTACGGACCTGCCTTCCCATACCACCATCGACTGTGGGGGCCGCATTCCTGGAGCGGAGCCAGAGAAGCGATCGACCATGCCACAGAGCACGGGCACTATGGCAAGCAAATGCGACATGTCCAAGTGCCGGACATTCCTGCAACAAACCGCTTCCTCAGATTCATAATTGTTTCTGCAATGATTCCCATGTTGGCTTTGGCCTATCAGAAGAGGGAGTGTTTCTGGCTGCCAGGGTGACTTAGTGGAATGCTATACAGCAAATAGACTACTAAAGGTCAAATTACCTGCAAATACCTCAGCGAATTATTTGTCTTGTATGATAAGACAGATGTACATTTATTTGTAAGCAGCTTAAGTTTTTGGAAAGAATATGTAAAAGTATTTACTTCTGGAAAAGGTACTATTTCCGACGCCGTTACCTTCTGCACAGAGTTGCTTCCCTTCATTAAGTCGATGAGTGTTAGATATTTGGAAAACATGACTGTGTTTACTGATATATATTTGAAGTATTTTACTGAAAATATGTTTAATTCGGCGCCCTGAATCAATTCATTTACAAAATGTATCAACACCAGAACACATTGTGCTATTGTGTATGCATAATTATACAACCTACTATATATCATTCGCATTATACAGGAGTATTACGTTACATTCAAATACCAGTTACTACCTGGTTCCGGACCTGACAGTTACAATATGTAACTCGCCAATCTGTAGCCTGAATTAATAATCGGGAAACATCAGGCAACTTGCTAACAACTATAGGTTTTCACAGGAGGTGTACCGTTCATTAACATGAGTAACCTCCCTTTGATTTATCTACACGATTGCAGCTACTATCACAACATCACCCTTTCATAGATATTCTAACAAGATTAACGTCCCTTGAACAGTGTACACAGTGAACAATAATTGACTTGAGTTTATTTCTTTGTTTTAAAGTGTGTTATTCCTCTTTTTAAAAGGGCAATTCTGAAGATCCAACACTGTTGTAGTGGGTTATGGTTTAGGTCTGTTTAAGATCGCAGAATACGCTGCTGGCTTTACTTTGAATAACATAATGTAAATATTTTAACACGTCTTACTCGGAACATAAAACAAATGAAAGAAGTTCTTAATGGAAACGATAAATAAAATCAACCACAACATTCATTTCTTAAAAACAGAAACCTGCTTTAAATGTTGCGTTCAGTTTACGTAAACATGTGTTACCGAGTCACTACATAGTTGTTAAACTGGATGCTCGTTTATAGGTGATCAAATCTCACAGACACGTGCGAAGGCAAATCGAATGTATAGTCAGTGTGCGAAATAGCCACTGGTTCGCTGGCTCGTGGCTAGTGAAAATCCATTTGGGCCAGTAAATCTCCACAGTTAATGGCCCGACTGCCTAGTGAATTTTCATGTGGTCATTTTATAAATATAACACTCTCTCCGACTTGTTAAGTTATAATACACTTTTAAATCATGCAAGATGATGGCCTGATAAAAATATTCATCATATTAGCAGCTTACCTTTGAGTAATATATTGCTTTGTTTCTACATTCAAAATTCGGGCTTGTGAATTATTTTGTGGGCTAGTCAGGCATAGCTAGGCCGACTGGCAAGCAGAACTTGGGAACTATCTCGCACACTGAATGTACATATGAGTAAACACGGGAACATATCGTACAAGTCAAAATAGCAAATTGCTTTAGACACCAGATAAACACGACACTCTCCGTAACGATATTAATGTTAGCAGAGATAACACTACTCCTAACCTCATGACCTAAATGTATTCTATGAAACTATACTACCCATCAAAAGTTTAGACTCATTTAAAGCACTCACTATATGCTATCTTATGCATATATATACATGGTTAAAGATGAATTTCTCCACTAAGTTAGGGGAAACAAATGGACACCTTATGCAGATGAACTGCACAAGGATCATGCATCAACTTGCTGAAAAGCATGTGCAAATATCGTGCATGTAAACAGCTGCGTTTTGGTGTAAGGTTTTGTTAAGGATTTGCCAATTTTCACTGAGTTTCCTCATTTAGTGAACTCATGACAATAGTCGTTTAAACGTCACAAATTTGTTGTACAATACATCAGTTTAAGTGTAAACAGTACCTTTAAACAGTATGGAATATTTTGAAAAATCTAGTTTAGAACAGTTGACCGAAGTAATGGACTACATGTACACGAGTGAGTCTAAACTTTTGATGGGTAGTATATTTAATCATGTTTGTCTTTCATAATAATCTGGATTTTGTTTCTATATAAGTAAAGTTAGGCTAGAATGCACTTTACCGGGCGCAGCCCTCGCTGCTCCCTTTACGATCCTTAGGGTTAGGGTTTAGGGTTAGGCACCCTTTATGATCCTTAGGGTTAGGGTTAGGGAACCCAAGCAGCGATAAATAATCTGAAAAAGTGCGCCCGGTAAAGTGCAGTACTCCCCAATGTTATTATACCCTTATTAGTTTTACTATTTACGTGGATCTTTCGAAATAAAATATTTCATATTTTCGAAAACGCTTGTGTTTTTCTTTAACATAATTCAGTTATATTTTATGGAATTGACGATCCTGTTGTGCTCTAACTGCTCACAGTCTACAGTGATGTCTCCACTCACCCAAAACAACCCAACCCAACAGAGTTCCGCCCCTTTGGCATGCAAGGAACCTATGCTCATGGGGTCAAATCTGGGTTCGATCTTGTTATTTGTCAAGGTTTCTCAGGGGCGGTGGGGTAGCCTAGTGGTTAAAGCGTTGGCTCGTCACGCCATAGACCCGGGTTCGAATCCCCACATGGGTACAATGTGTTAAGCCCATTTCTGGTGTCCCCCGCCGTGATGTTGCTGGAATATTGCTAAAAGCGGCGTAAAACCAAACTCAGTCAGTCGGTCAGTCAAGGTTTCTCAGCACCATACAAGTGTTAATGGGTTCTACTAACTTATATACACCTGAACCATGCATTACTTGCTTGGGCAGACACTTGTGTTATCCTGATTGGAAATATTCCCAGGAACTGATTGCCAGACTTCGGCGTGTGCAAAATACTGCTGCACATAGATGACGTATTCACACAATGGCTTCCTGTACAAGCAAGAGTTCAACTCAAAATCTTGACACTTGTCTAGAAATGCTACCATCAGCCAGCTCCTCAATATTTGAATGATCTCATTCAAAAATATGTAGCATTGAGATGACTTCGATCTGCCGACCATCATTTACTTGAAGTACCAAAGAACAATTTGAAAAAGTTTGCATACTGCAACTGAACCCAGTGAACATATAAGTGGAAAGGTAATTAAACAACGTATTAACCAAAAAAACGTTTACACTATCAATCATTGTGGATATGTCAATTATATCAATGTATTAAGCTTTAAGATTGTCTGGTCCGGCCTCAAATATATATTCCGACCACCGCCATACAGCTGGAATACTGCTGCGCTAATCGACAAACAAATTGAACTGAAATACAGTTCATAAGCATAGATAACTTGCATGGACTCTGCTTCAGTCATTTCACGAGTCCCTTTGCTCTTAATAGATCGTCAGATATATTTCGGGTTGTTTGGTTTTCATTTGGTTTTTCGTCGGTCTTCTCGTCACATGACTCCTCTATTCGCCGTACCTACACGTAACACATGTACATTACTAGCATGGAACCTCACGTATAATCTGCACTGTACACCACACTATGAAGTAACAATGCGTAGATGTATAGTCGCTCACGCGGGACGTTCTTAAAATGGAAAACACGAACGCTACCAGGAAGTCCTGTTTTAAGTAGAACGAGGCCACTTAACCTGAACAAGCTCGATCTACGTCAGTGTATTTATATCAGGATATCATCTACAGTCATACTATTAACATGGAAAACACTTGCAGCCCTAAACAAGGGCGACGCCAAAGATTTGTGACGACAATATGTATACTGACTCTTGTCATCTCAGCAGCGCTGAACATATCAATGATTGTTCTTGTTTTGTTGCATAAATTCTCTCGCAGTCACCCTGTCATCACAGCCTAGACATAGAGCATTGGGCAGGGATCTTTGTGTATTCCCTGTGAAACGCATAAGAGAGAGAAACGTACCTTGGCTCACTCCGAGTAGGCCGATGTGGTACTTCTTCAGGGACGTCGGATGTGCTGTCTGAGACATGCTGAGAGTCTAACACATCTTGTGAAACTTGTAAGCAAAGTGGTACATGTAATTAAAGACATATTTCGTATTAATAAACAGCCAACTATCATTTGAAGTTAATAAGAAATGCGTAACAGGTTGGATTTTGAAAACCAGAGTATGACTCGTTCTGATACCCGTAAGTGTCTTTCAGTTATGTGATAGTTTCCGAGCTTAATGTGTGGGGTATGCACAAGTGGTTCACGTCTCAGTCTTTGAAATGTACTACTGGAGAATAAAATGAGTCTGGCGATAGAGCATACAACTCTAAACCTGTAATCTGTGCAATCGAGTAAAATTGAGTAAAACAATTAATCCATATATTTAACATTATAGTCCCTGAGATAGTTCCATGGCGATGTATGGAGTGTAACACTCAACATAGGTTTTACCGCCAACTGATTCATTTTAAACATTTTAACACTGATAAAAACTAACATTAAAGATGAACAACTTCTGTATTCAGATGATGCGACGTTTCTTGTATCGTTATGAGGTAGGAATACTACGATGAAAGAATTTGTGTCGAAATGTCGCAGCACCTCAGTAAAGAACTTGTTCATTCCATACAGTTGTCCTTATCTGACTCTCCAGTTTCTAAAAATGCCACACAAAGAAGCCATTTTAACATTGATTCTTCACAAAGTTTGCTAGTGATAGCTGATGAACAAAACACTTAGGAGACGAGCGTATGACATGTCTCGGTGTCCTTTGTCGGCTACAACGTTGCTTTATACATAGATATTTTTATGCATTATAGTTTTTCACTGTGTTACTCATCAGAAATGGAGATGCGAGTTGACGCGTATTGATGCATAACAATATATCAGTTTGCGAAGTGAGTGTGCATGATGTTGTCAAATGATTTTCTCTGCTGCCCCAAATATGAGACCAGTGAAACTATGTCGGCCGTGTCAGACCGACACGACACTCCGTGGAAAACTGGATAACAAGCGTGACGCCTTCAGGTGTCAGTTTCAGTTTTCCGTTAATGTTGCAGCACGTCATGTCTTTTTTGAGAACTACAGACGCACAATCGAACTCTTAAAAGG